AAAGAAGAATCAATCCAAAGAAAGCATTAATAATAGAAACATAACACAACAATGAATGAAACAAACATATATATCATTGATAAGGTGAAGATTACACAAGAGTTAAGTTGGTTACATCTAACCCCACAAAATATTGGGTAGAATCGCTCAAAACAATGAGGGTAAAACAAAAATAGAGATGGAAGAATCGAAGGAAAGACCCACACACAGCACGGTCCCAAGCACCGGGAATCCCTTCCACAGCTCCTAGAAGTCACCCTATGTGTGAATGAGGAAGGAAGCCTCGAAGATTTAATCAAATACGAGCTGGGTGAGTCAAGATAGGGTTTACACGCCCGGCGCGTTATACTTTGTGCGGTGCAAGGTCTTCTAGAGAGGTAATTACTCTCTGTCTCAAGGCACACCCGACGCGAATACTCTTGTGCCCAACATGATGTCTTATAGAGAGTTTAGATGCTCTCTGTCTCGAGGCACGCCCGACATGGAGACTCTTGCACCCGGCGTAGTGCTGAGTTACAGAGTGTGTTGCTCTTTGTCTTGAGCAAGCCCGACGCAAGTACTCTTGCGCCTGGCGTAATATTACTTCTCCTGCTCCTTAGCTCTTTTACTTTCCAATCCAATGAGTCTTCAATCTCAACTCTTCAACTCAATACCTGCACAAAAAATGAGGTGTATCAGGGTATTGTCAGATGATTTTTGGGTTAGCTATATCTGCACAAAATTGAATCAAAAGAGAACGATTATATTGCAATAGTGCATAGGGTGAGTAGAATTGTTCAATAATTCCTATCTAAAAAGAATTATAAATGAGACTTAACAATTGTCTAACACATATACTATATTTAAGATTTCATATCAAAAAAATGCAAGATTTCAAGAAAAATAATAGATTTTTTTAGTGTCATGGAACTTGAATCCTATTGTGCACCCAGGGTTTACATACACATGTTTTTACATTAATATGATATTGTTCGCTTTGAGTTTAAACATTCATGGTTCTATTTTTAGTCATCTCCCAAAAGGTCTCATATTAATGGAGATTATGTGTGTTTTATAAACTTTTTTTTCTCATGATCTAATAATATGGAACTTTGTTTGTACCCGAACAAACCTCCCCTTAAATAAAGAATCATAGTTTAATCTCCCCTTCAATGAAAATCTTTTTATCATCTATAAGTATTCAATAGTGGTCCTTAGAGCTTTTTAATCACACCTACCAGTTCTAGATACTTGCATTAATGTTAGCTCACATCAACAGGACACATTACCTAACCTCCACACTGCTAGGAAGACGAGATCCCACACTTGAATCAACCACCTCTCATTGTCAAATATTCATCTAAGATTCTAATACCACTGTTCAACACTTGGAGTTCACACACACATGTCTTCAAATTGGTATAATATTGTCCTCTTTGAACATAAACTCTTCCAGTTTTATTTTTTATCATCTCTCAGAGAGTTGCATACCAATAGAAATTATATATACTTTATAAATCTTTATTTCTTCTCGATATGAAACTTTGTTATTTAAGAAGGCAGTGACCGCTGAATTAACATATTTTTATTAATACTTATTTGACTTAAATAATTTATATACATATATTAACTTCAATTAATATATTTAATCACATATTAATTCATACATTTCAACAAGTAGCTTATTAGTCCAACTAGTGATATTAGTTCAACAATTTAACTGGGTCGATTACCAACCTGAACATTAAAATACTACTCAAAATACGACATTCCTATAAATGTTTTCACATAAAATAATTATTTTAATTATTTATTTTTTTATTTATATATGATGAATTAACGGTTAATAAATAAAAAATATCATTATTCTTCAAATACTTTAATTTAAAATTTTAAAAATACTTTAATTTAAATTATTCAGTTTTCTTAAAAATATTCAAGTTGAAACACATAGCTTTGGGATGGTGCAAACTGGCACACAAACAAGATTTTGTTCAAAGTGAAAGAACTCCTTGCAAATTAGATCCAGGCATGTCAGCAAAACACTGCTTGCCCCACTAGCAATGCAACGTATAGACCAACTCCCAAACCTGATATCCTCAAGTCAATACCAGTCATGATATTTTTATAGCTCATAAACAAAATAATAAATTAGAGTCCCTAAAATAAGTATTAAAATATAAAAATATATTTTATAAAAAAATTGACACGTAATTTTATTAAAAAAAATTGTACATCTTATTATATTAAGTGAATAATATAAGTTAACATAGAGGGTGATCGATAAAGAGAAAACTTGCACATTCTTATGAATTAGAGTGATATGAGTAAATCTCCTCTAAGAGAATGCTTTTTATAAGAATCGAGTCACGGATATCTTGAATGGCAAATTTTTTTAGAGTGCATTTTTTATTTATTAAAAAACAACTTTTTTAATAAGATCTTTTTAGAATTATTGTTTAATACAAAATTGAATGAATGCTCTTTTTCATAATAAAAAAAACAAATAAATTGAATGGTAGTTAAAGTACAAATGTGCAATCTTATTCTATTTTGCGGTAAAGTCTATCTCCGATTATTTAACATAATTGCATATTTAAGATGTAATCCTATTTTCTAAAAATATTTAAAAAATATAAAATAAATTCAAGGTGTTAATAATGTGCATAAGAAAATAAAATTGGAAGTATTTTCTCCTTTATTTTTTCTTGAAATATGATAGATTAAAAAAATTAGACCTCTCAATTGACATAGTCATTTTTGAAATGGATTGCCAAATAGTTGTTCAGAGTATCAGTAGGCCCCAAAGAGATTTCTCTGAATATGATGATACTATTCACTAACGTAGAGCATAGCTAGACAAACAAATTCAGTTAACACAAATTAGTTAGGACTATTGAATTATAGGTTGGTGTTAGCAATTCTAGTTACATCTCGCATTATATTATTTATTCATTCAACAAATTATCAATAAAATGAGTTTTTTTTTTAAGATAAGAAAGATTATAAAGATGGTCACAATGAGAATTAAACTTAGATCCTCATGCTTCTAACTACTCGTACACTTTCCTATTCAATCACTAGGCTAACCCTAATAGTTATCAATAAAGTGAGTTAAATTTGTTTCTATAAATAAATTAATAAAAATTTATTTATACATTGTATGGTTTAAAATATTTTTTGTGTTTAGAATTTAAGATTTAGAGTTTTGTGGTGTTGAAAAAAAATTATGTTCAAAATATTAATTTAATAGTACATGTAGTTTTTTTTTAAAGTAATAGTACATATAGTTAACATAAATAAATCAAAGATTAGATATATTTTTAATTTTTTAAATTTGAGACATTTTTTTACTCTCTCAAATTTAAAGTTTGTATTTTTAATTTAAAATTGTTAAAAATATTGTTTTAGACCCTCAAATTTAAAATTTATATTTTTAATCTTTAAAATATAAAAAAAATTAATATTTTACTCTCTCATAGTTTATCATTATCAATTATATTATTAAGAATTAAAATATTTTTTTTTAAAATTACAAGAATTAAAAAGATTAATTTGAAGGACTAAAATAATAAATTTTGATATTTTAGAAATAAAAGATACAAATTTTAAATTTGGAATATATATATATATATATATATATATTAAATTTAAAAAATTAAAAACATATTAAACCATAAATTAAAATTTGAATTGACTCATGTTAACAAACTTACATACATATATAATATATAATATTGGTTAATCAATAAAAATATAAATTAAGCCTTGAATATTTAATTTTTAAAATTTAGAAAGAAAAATATTTTATAAACTTTTAATTTGTAAAAAATTATAACACAAACATATTTTCAATATTTTTATTTCCAAAATAAGACATAAAGAAATACATATTTTAAGACTTTTTCAAAATATCAAAATAAAAGTTTACTTTTTCAAAACGTTAGAGATAGATGATAGATCTAAAAAAAAAAATCCGTTAGAGATAGAAAATTTTAGGGTTTTGTGCTCCTATATATATAACCATATGCCGCATCAATTTCTCAGAAGCAAAGCCACAGTGTAGGGTTCGGCCATGGCTGCTACTGTTCTCAGCCGTTGCAAACAGAAGTAGCATTGTAGGTTCAAAGTTTTCTTTCTTTTTTGATTAATTCTCTGCACGATGTCTCCCGGGCTTCTCTGATTAACCTATGACGCGAAAGCCCCAATACACGTGCGAAATCGCCGCCGTTCGTGTTGCAGTTTAGCCCTAATTTTTTCATGGCTGAAACTGTGTCAAAGCAACGGTGAAATCCCATTTTTCTCAATATTTTTTTTACTTTCGTGTGCGTGTTTCGCCTCACTACACCATTAGCTTGTTTTCGAAATTTGCCATGAAATTAAAGCTAGTCATAGAGGCGCAAATTGAATCGGCGTTTTTCACGTGGGGGTTTAACCTTTCAATGTTTGTGCCTCTAAAAATGTCCGCTACATTAGGTTTCAATTTTTGTAGTTTTTAAAGTTGTAAGTTTTTTAGGTGTTTTCAACATCTTATTTGTCGGCGATGATTACATATTATCCGCGCTTCTGAGGTTTAATCGATGAAGCATAACGGAAATAAATGGTTGAATTTCTTGATATGAGCCGTGTTTTGATTTGAAAATGTTTTTCTTTTTTAAAAAGAGAATGATGTTGTATGTTATTTTATTTGTTTCAATTTTAGTGTAATGGTTAGCTGTGAGGATTACCATTCAGCTTTAAATGCCAGTTCTGCTTCTGAGAAATCGTGATTGATAGAGCTGTAATTTAATCTGAGCCCCCATTCACGAATTTGTGTGAAACAATTATCTTCTTTTGTTGTTGATGCGTGAATCTTCAAAGTACTTTTGATCATCAAATGTTGTATTTGTATTAATCCGTGTTAATTGTCTGCTTTTCTTGCCTTGGTAATTATATTCAAATTGTGATTGTTATGTGTCATTTATGGATTATCATTCAAAGGGATTATTTTGTCATTTGTTTGTTACAATTTTTTGTTTTGAACCAATGATGTTACAATCCAACTTGTCCCGGATTGTAGTTTAGCCAAGTCCCTCTTCTGAGGGAGAACCTTCTTGGTGTTGCTACATTTCCTATGGCAGCAAAGATTAAACTGAGGTTCGGTACTGTTGTATTTTGTGCCATCTATCTTTGAATTAAGGCCTTATAGTAAGGAACTGTGCGTTGTGACATTTTCTTTTAATAGGTCTATAGTCTGATTAACTAGAAGATTTTGTGCTGCACTCAAGCTTCATCTTAACATCATTGTAATGATTTTGATGCTGGGTTTAAATGTGTTGTCTAATTATTGTTCAATCTATTTCCAAAGGCACTTAGTAATTTGTTTGATTTGAATTACGAACTTCTAATTTTGTGGGATTGTAAACCTCTAATGAAGAGTGCCTTGTAGAAAGTTAGAAATAACTGTAAACTACTCCATCCCGTCCAATGGTTTGCAAGACATCAGTACCTGGATTAAATAATTACAACATTTACAATACATGGTACATTACTAAGCTATTTCAAGTAATTATATTCAATTAACTTCCCAAATACTAATAAATGATGCCTAATTTTTCAAGTAACATATGACCTTGGTTTATGGACTACATGAATATTGTATCTAGAATTACTGTAGAAGTTGAAGCTGTAACGAACCGTCATGGTCTCTACACTTAGTGGAATCGCACTACTACTAGTGAACTAAGGAAAATATTAAATTGGATAATTCATACGTACAGGTATAGTTAAGAAAAAAAAATAACCAAATTCTTCAAATACAAAATAAAATGTCATATATGTACAGTCATCCCAAAAATAATATTTCCTAGTGCTGGTCAAACAGACAAAATTGTTACCTAAAATGGTAACCCTAACACGAGGATCAAAGCTCTCCGTCTCGCAGCGGACACCTCAATTCCAAGCTAGCCCTGACCTGCTCTCATACCAAGTATGATCATCGCAGTTCCACCACATGGAAAACAGAAGGGTAAGCTAGAATTCACAAATCAATCATACAAGTATAGAACTATAATCTATACTACACAATCATCCAACCATTAATCATGTTCATAGAGTCTCACCATACACTCTATCCAATACTACTTATGCATAACATACAATGCACCAATCATGAAGTCAAACACCACACTTCATCATATTAATAATCATGCAGTAAATGCATCTCATGACAGATATCAATGCATATCAATCATCTAATGCGTCGTCACGCATACACCTAGGAGATCTCCATAACAATAGAGCTGTATAAGTGACATTCCATCCTACCGAAACCACCCCAACCGTTTTCACGCCCAATGCGCCCGCTCGGTCACAGCTAAACAGGATATATAATCCTCACTCGGGTTTACTCGGATGATGTCACTTACACACTTGGAAGTCCAGATCCACCGTCAGGTATAGCACAGCTGGGTACGGGCTTACCACGACCTTGGCATGCATTAACCAAGTCAATTGTGGAGTTCGCCCACCGACTATCCGCAAGGATCCACGCACCTTCCCGAGTACTTGGTTAAGGGAATAACCCTCGACCTCATACCCCGCTCCAACACTAGCTAAGGACTTAGAGGAGACTCACCCAACCCAGTGGCCTATCTGAGCACCACTCTCCCAAATCCAGTGGCCTCCCAGAGCACCACTCTCATATATCAGTGGCCTATCCAAGCACCACTCTCAAGAGACTCTATGTGAGCTCTTCCAGTTCGAAAATATTTTTCCTCTCCTCAAGTCCTAGGCTAGACTCATGCCATAGGCATCACATGCAATCATGCATCATACATCATAATGGTCTGCCCACCATCATGATCAACAATCATACACATGTCATAAGACATCACATGCAATAATGTATCATACATCATATATGGTCTACCCACCATTATGATCAACAGTCATACTCATATTCAAACATTCATACGTATCATCACAAAACATACATATGAATCACACCGCACCATACATCATATATCACACATATATGATCTAACATTTTAACTTTTAACATATTTACGCTCGGCGTAGCCTGAGCTCGCCCAGCCTAATCCCAACTTGAGAGCCCTAAGCTCTTCCATGCCTGGCGCACTCAACCTGCGCCTAGCCTAATCCTAGTCAGAGAGTTCAGAAACTCTCATCCAAATCAACAAATCCAGTCACATGCAAATACAAAACACAATACATAGGCTCCGTACAACTCAAAATAAACTCAAATCTCACATGCATCCAACCTATGCATCAAAATCATCAAAATCCTCTTAAAACCCCAAAAGATGAGATTTTCTTCAATCGTCTATGGATTCTCAACATTCACGCACCTATTGAGTTTCTAAACTCACATGCAACCTACACAACAAACATTCTAGCTTCCCTTACCTGAAGGTTGGCTCAGATAGCCAAAAACTGAACAAAAGTAAAATTTCTCTTCGAGGCTTAACTCGAAACTTCAATCCACCCAAATCAAGCTTTCTAATCTGAATTTCAAGAAAAGACAGAAGAAGTTATTGATCTAGAGGAGAAAAGGAGTTAAACAGAGAAATTTGGGAGAGAAAGGAGCTCACTGACCCAGAGACCTTCTCTCTAAAACTTCTCTCTAGAACTTCTGATTCTCCTCATGGCCCCCTCACCCCTATTTATAGGCAATCCGGAGGGGCCAGAACGGCCCGTTCCAATACCGGAACGGCCCGTTCTGAACTGCCAAAACACGCCAAAAATCCACGCCTAGAACGACCCGTTCTGAAATCAGAACGGCCCATTCCGGGACTCATCCAGAACGGCCCGTTCTCCCTCCGGAACGGCCCGTTCTCCCTCCAGAACGGTCCGTTCTCAACTACAATATGTAGTTCAATTCAGTAGCTTGGAACGGCCCGTTCCAGTTTGGGAACGGCCCGTTCTGGGCTACTGAATCAGCCTTTTGTTTTTTGTTTTTTTTTGTTTTTTTCTTTTTGTTTTGTTTTGTTTTGTTTTGTTTTGTTTTTTTTTTGTTTTTTTTTTAAACAATGTTACAGAAGCCAATTTAAATGCATGACCATGTGGTAATAGAACTTTCTCTGGAATGGTGCAAAGAATTTTTCTTCGAAATGAGTTCAATAATGGGCAGAACCGGTAGTTTCATCCTGTATAGAGAATACTACGATCAACTTAGTAACATCATGTAGAGCCTCTGAGCAGAATTCAAGGCTACCTTGCGAACAGTACGAGTTATGGTGCTCTAGAGTCATACCTTGTTTGCACATGTTGCAGAATCCCAACCGATCCAAATCCTTCTTCCACATGTGGAGTAGAGACTACTAAATCGTATTAGATTCGTAGATATCAAGGAGTGGAAGGGTGATCTGAGTTTGTGTAGGGCAACTTCAATTTTGCATTTTGAAGACATGGCTTATCTTTGATCACAAACTTCAAACTATGTGACTTGGCATGTCGTTATCACCTTCTTCAGGCTTTGTGACTTGCTTGCTTATTCTCAACCACGATTGAGTTACGTAGTTGAAACTTTCCCAACAACATATTTAATTTGATCAGCTATAAAACACTATTGAAATGTTGACATCTTTGGATTCATCGAAGAACATGCTAATATTTTTTATTATTATTATTCTAATGATAAGAAAATCAATCATTTTGGCTAAGGAAATTTTTGTTTTGAGACGTTTTCAAGAATACATTTTTTCACATTGTTTTACGAAGTTACAAAATTTATTCTCGGTATAGATTATTTTTGGAAATAAAATAACCTTTATATTCTCACGTTCTTATTCTCGATGAAAGAGATGAGTAAGTGGATTTCTATGACGTGATAATTAAAACTTTTATTTTTATTCATTTTAATTTTCTTCTTAATCACTTTTGCAAAAGTATTCTTATCACAAATTGAACAAATTATTTTAATATTTTTTAGTAAATACATTATTATTATTATACCAAAAATATCATTCTCGTTATTATATTAAAGAATACTATTTTTGAGAATGGAAATTGATAATTTGAAACAAACGCCTAAGATAATCATACATAGCATTGGTAGAAAAATTTGTCTAATTGGCTAACATATAATGGAAATCTGTGTAAGTAATGAGAAGGAAACACTTTTTTTTTTCAACTACGTGAGTGGACATCTGATATTTTGGATGAAGGGAGTATATAGAAGGTTTAGGGTTTATATTTTGGATGAAGGGAGTATATAGAAGGTTTTTTTATTTTATTTTTAAAAAATGATAGATAAGAGAGTCAAGGGAGCCAGATTAATTAATTGTTTTAGCAGCTAGTCAAAATTTATTAATGTCTAGTAAATAAATTGGTTTAAGTTAGATTTAGACTATTTTAGTATTTAATTTGATTAAATTTAATTGGATCAAATTGAGTTGAATTTGTGAATTATTTTTTAATCAACTTGACTACAATCAGGTTGAATTAAGTTGGGGTCATTGGGTTGAATAATTAAAAAAATAAAAATAAGTATATTTTAAAAAAAAATTTAAAAAAATAACAAAAATAAAAAGATAATTCTAACTTTAATACATGATTCAAAGTATAAGCAATATTACAACAATCATACATGAAAAATCATAAATATCCTGAACAAACAAACATTATATCACTAACAAACAACCATTGAATTATATGATAAGTACAATTAAATCATTATTTTGCTCCATGCTTTCAATTTAGTCAATCAACTCATCACTACAATGTTTAATAGAAAAAAATAGAATTAAATATATACAACCTTTGTATCATGTGTTGTATTGTGCATAATATATTTAATTTAACTTAATAATTTTTTATAGGTTGAGTTGATTCAAATTTATTGAATAGCAAACATTTTTATTTGTTATCCAATTGGGTAACATAAAAAATATCTAACCTAACTCGTAAAATATAATTGAGTTGGTTCGGGTAGGTCATGTTCATGGATGAGTCATCACCCACTTACACCCCTAATGCCTATATAGGAGAAGGTTTTTTTTTTTTTTTTTTATCATTAAAAATGGTAGATAAGTGAGCAATAACATGCTAAAGAGCCTCAAATCAAGTACAATAGGAATTTTATCTCAAGTGTCAATAGATCTCTTTAAGCATGTATGTTGATCAAAGTCAAACTTGC